TTCGCTAGTGCATAAATGAGTTTGCTCTGGAGCCCTCGTTCCTGATCTGAGACAGAAATCTGTGAGCTGGAGGCTAAAAAAACTGTGAGCTAGCTCACACTCAGGAGCTGCGGTGGCTCAAATGGTTAAGACGCTGAACTGCAGGCTGTGGAAGGTCAGTAGTTCAGCAGTTCAAGACCTGGGTGCCGCATGACGGAGTGAGCTCCCGTCTCTAGTTCCAGCTCCTGCCAACCTAGCAGTTCGAAAGCAAGAAATTGCAAGTAGATAAATAGGTACCACTTCGGTGGGAAGGGAACAGTGTTCCGTGCGCCTCGGTGTTTAGTCATGCCGGCCACATGACCACGGAAACGTCTTCGGACAGCGCTGGCTCTTCAGCTTTGAAACGGAGATGAGCACCGCAACCCTAGAGTCGGACTCGACTGGCTTTCGAGCAAGGGAGACCTTTACCTTTTAGCTCACACTCACTCAGCTTAGAGGGAACACTGTCCAGCGCATTCCCCCAGAAAAAAGCCCTGCTAGCAGGTATTGGAAGCGGCATTTCCCTACCTGATAGATCAAGATGGGTCGCCATGTTAGTCTGTCTGTAGTAGTAGAAAAGAGCAGGAGCCCAGTAGCACCTTGAAGACTTACAAAATTTGTGGCACGAAAGCTCATACTCTGCTGCAAATTTTGTTAGTCTTTAAGGTGCTACTGGGCTCTTGCTCATTTCTTCTCTTCCCGAGACTCCAGAGAATTGCCACCTCACAGAGTAGACAATATTGAGTTTGATGGACCAGTTATTGGGCTCTAAGGCCCCTTTGTATGTACATAAATGTTCAAATTCTGCTGTTGGCTTAACATAAAGCATGGGGAGTTGGCTCACAGAATTCCCCAGTGAGAAAAGCCTCAGATCCGTGGACTTTTGTCTTCAGGAGATGTGCTTGATTTATTGTGTGGTAACAGAGGGAACCGTCCCCGTTTCTTTCTTTTTAAAAAGCAACCGGTTTTTAATTTAATTGTAGTATTCCTAATGCCAGCTCCCCTGCTGAGAAAAAAGTTATTTTATTGCTAAAAAATTCAAATACCTCTGTCATTTTATCAGGATTGCGGGAAATGAAAATGATTGGAAATGAAGTCTTCTCCACTGCGCCCTTCTGGGACCGATTTGTCTGCGGACTGACGGGCAGTAATATTCCTGGGGCTAGAGCAAGCCCCCTTGGGCTCTGTTCCAGGTGTTGTTAAGATGATTTGTAGCTTCGCGGCGTTTGGCAGGTCTGACCTTCTAGCGTTGTGTCCAAAAAGCAATCCGTTCAAGCGCTTGGAGTATTTCTGCTGCTTATAATGTTGATACAAGCTCCGTCCGGAATGCCAGCAACATGAAGTTGTGGCATCTGACGTTTTCATAGACGTGTCTAATAGTGCAGGCCTTGACAAATTTTTCTTTGGCTCTGGGAGCCAGCCGAAAAATTTAGGAAATTTAATTCATCTGTCACCGCCGAATAGTGTAAAGTTAACATATAAGCAATTGGTGACAAGGAGTTGATGCACGCGTTTGTCTCTGCCTTCCAGCAGAACATAGTCTGATGTGGAATGAGAAGTTAGCGCTTCTCTCGTGAGGATCCCTCAGAGATATGACAATCAGGGGTCATTTAGTAGAAAAAGAGGTGCAGGAGCTCATTAGCATAGCTCATTAGCATAACTTATTTGCATATGACACACCCCCTGACATCACCGGAAGTGTGTCAGAAGGCAACACACACCGCTCAGGCTCCACTGGACTGTTTTGGTTTGCTAGCTATTGTGGGAGGTACGGGGGACGTGCAGATCTGTCCTCGCAGAGGAGGGAGAGCTTGTACCTGAATAGAACTTGGTCTTAAAGGTGCCACTGGACTGTTTTGGACCGGAGGGCCGGGGGGGCTCTGCAACTTACCTGGCTACTTCTTGCTCTGACTGAGGGCTTCTGGGAGCAGGGGGTGGGGCTTGTTGCATGTGCCTGCCCCCTGCTTCGCTCCTGTGCGCTCCTGCAGGAAATGACCCCTGATGACAATAAACCCATGGCTGAAAAAAGGAGGCGCCACAATGAAATTTCTAGGTGCAGCGGCAAGCTGGTGTAGGGTTTGCAGCCTTCAGGGGGTGGCTTAGATATCCTGGGATTACAGATGATTTCAGGTGACAGAAGTCAGTTTCCTAGGCGGAAATGGGTACTTTGGAAGGAGGACTCTATGGCATTGGACCCCGTTGAAGCCCCTCCCCTTCCTAAACTCCACCCTCCTCAGGCTCCACCCCCAAACCTCCAGGTACTTCCCAACACGAAGCTGGCAGCCCTAACATGGTGTCTGGGAATTCTCCAGCCCTGCAATACTGCGTTGGCTGGAGTCTGAGCAGAGAGCACTCGAGCGGAGAGAGAGCCAGTTTGGTGCAGTGGTTGGGAACACGGACTCTAATCTGGGAGAACCGGGTTTGATTCCCCACTCCTCCACATGCAGCTGCTGGTGTGACCTTGGATCAGTCACAAGTTCTCTCAGAGCTGTTCTCTCAAGGGCAGTCCTCGAGAGAGCTCTCTCAGCCCCACCTACCTCACAGGCAATGCTCCCTCTGAGCTGTGGAGTCTTGTGAGCAAAAATTCTACTTTGTGAGCTACTGGCATGAAAGTTTTGAGCGAGCGATTTCGCTACCTCGTAAATTAGTTTGCTCTGGAGCCATCCTTTTCCTGAGCTGAGACAAAAATGTGTGAGCTGGAGGCTACGAAACTGTGAGCTAGCTCACACTAATTCAGCTTAGAGGGAACACTGCTCTCAGGGTGTCTGTGGTGGGGATGGGAAGGGGAAGGAGATTGTAAGCCGCTCTGAGACGCCTTCGGGTAGTGAAGGGAGGGGGTATAAATTTAACCTCTTCTTGTTCTTCTTTTTTTAAGGGAATGTTTTTGGCAAAGGTACCCACCTGTTTTGACTTTAAAAAAAAATTACTTCGAATTGGTCTGTTCGGGAAGCATTACCCCCTCCTCTCCGTATCTCTCTTGGATTTGTCTGCCTTGAGTGATGATAGCCAACGCTGACTCATCGAGTCCCATAACCTTTGAGTACATCATCCCAGTTTGCTGTGTGATTCCCAGAGAGCCAGATGGGTGGTCCCCGGAAAATCCAAAAAACAAAACTTGTTTAGCAGGCAAAATGGAAAAGTGAACTTCACACAATGGGTGTCCGCATGCTTTCGGCGAAACAAATGCCGCGGCAGGGCTGTGTCAAATTAGCGGGTTGGAAGAGGCAGAACTGTGTCCTAAAAGCACCCTTCCTTCTGGGCCAGCCCTGCTACGGCTAGCGTGGAGACCGGCTGCTCTGAGATCCGTATGGCTGGTTATCGTGGCCCTTGATGCTCCCGCAAGGAGGAGCTATCCTTTATGCGCCCGAATAATCGTTCACATTTTCTTCCTGCCGTTTTCCAGAGATCTCAAGGAAGCATATGTGATACGTAACAACGCCGTGACGTAAATGAGGCTGAGCGAGAGTCACCCAGTTTGCTGCCTGGCCAAGTAGGGATATGAACCCAAGGTCACCCCAGTCTGAATACAACGCCCTGACCACTACATCACACAGCTATATTGTCTGTGAGCGGGGACGCCGAGGCCTCTGGTTTCTGCCCCTGACTTTGGAGGCCCGCAGGTTTAAAGAGCCGGGTTGTATCTCGGACTGGACGGCTGCGTCCTCCTCCTTTTATTTATAAAATGCCTAAAATTACAATTTTATTATTTATTTTTTTAAAAAAGACTACTCCTAGCCTGTAGATTCACACTTTTAATGTTCTGGTGTGTGTGGGAGGGGGGCAGTCTGCTGAAATGCCTGTTGCCGTTCACAGCGGGGAAGCGGGAAGGGTGGATTACAGCTCGCAGGAAATCTCGTGCACGGAGCCAAAGCTGCTGGCCCCGGTTGAAAACGTGACGCCAGTTAAGAAAATAGCTGCCAGCGGCCTCCAACGAGAGATGGATTCTCCCACTTGGAAGCAAACAGGGAAGATTGAGAGGGTGTTCCTTGGCTGGAATTGTCAGATACAGACTGATGTGGCCATATCAGCCTCCTGTGGAGATTTATCATGCGCTTAACCGTCAAGAACAGAATCTGGCCCTCCCCCCAATGAAATTGGCACTTCCACTTCCATTTATCAAGTGTGTCCTCTCCAACAATTTACTTACACTGCTGTTAACAGGGCATTGTACCCCCAGTTATTTGGGGGCCAGTCTTCATCCGTGAATGAGAAACCAGCAAACGGGGAATAGTCTTGTTTTAAACTATAGCTGGTTAACGACCCTCCCAGTTATGGCTTCAGCCCTGAATGTAAGAAGGAAGGTCCTTATTTGTTAATTCTTTGGGAGTCGTATTGAGCTAAGGATTTGAGACTTGTGTAAGATTTTGTTTGTTTATATACAGTGTTTCAGAAAACGACAACTTTAAGAACTCTGCATGAGACCAAAAGGGAAAAAATTAGTCTTTGTTCATTGTATGGGTACATTTGGCACTGTCAGAATGTTAAATTAGAACTCGAATTTCGCCGCGTTGTGTTGACCTGATAGATTTTGCTGTTCTACTTGTCTGGCTGCGAGACGGACGCTTCCAAGTAAATCTTAAGACCATAAAGAAGCCATGCGGCTAGTGCTGTTAGGAAGCAGTTTTTCTCCAGGCCAGTTTGGCTGGGGATATTGGGGGTTTGTTGCCGTATTCTGGGCATGGAACAGGAGTCACTGGGGGTGTGGGGGTATTTGTGAATTTCCTGCATTGTGCCAAGGGGTTGACTAGATAACCCCTTCCAACTCTTAAGATTCTGTGATTCTCTCAATGAAGCCTTGCCCGATTAGAAGGATCTAGGCACCTGTCCATTTCAGATCAGGATATTATAAGCAATATGGCAGGCAGTGGATCAAGACAACGCAGAGGCAGTTTGAGAACAGATGGAGATAGCCGCATGAAGGCACTGGATGTTGTTTTGACGAGCGTTCTGTCATTTAATTGGATTTCCTCTGTCTCCCGCAGGCCCTGTTGCTGTTGGGCGGGGTGGCCGTGGCCTGCCTTGCTCTGGATCTCCTCTTCCTCCTCTTCTACTCCTTCTGGCTGTGCTGTCGCCATCGAAAGAGTGAAGAACATTTGAATGCAGACTGCTGTTGTACGGCCTGGTGCGTCATCATTGCAACGCTCGTCTGCAGGTGAGTCCGGGTCTCTTCCCCACCCCTTTCCTTCTTCCCCCACAGCTTTGCAAACGGAGTTCCAACTCCCCGGTGTGCACCGAGTGCCCTGAAAGAGGGGCTCTCCCAGTGGTCATAACGCTCTTGAGAGTGGCACTTAAGGTCATGTCGTCCTGTGATTAGAAAGAACAAATGCAGCCTCAGGCTGGCACGCTTAACCTGTTTGTTCGCTTCAGGAGTATCCTGAGTGTGCTTTGAAGGGTGATCTTATCGGATTGCTTCTCCCAGATTGGTTTTTCGGAAGTTCACTAGGAGAAGGGACAACAATTTGCAGATCTCCGGTGCTTAGTGTACCCAGCACGTTGCTTTTTAAAAAAAAGTGGATTCATCTCTGTCTGTCTGTCTGTCTGTCTGTCTGCCTGCCTGCCTGCCTGCCTCTCTCTCTCTCTCTCTCTCTCTCTCTCTCTCTCTCTCTCTCTCTCTCTCTCCCCCTGTCTGTCCGTCCGTCCGTCCGTGCATCCATCCCTCCTACCTCTCCTAAGTGACACTGGTCGTTTAGTCTACAGGCCTTGAGCGGTGCCACGCTAGATGCAACAAAAAAAATGAGAGCTGGTTTGGTGTAGTGGTTAGGAGCGCAGACTCTAATCTGGGAGAACCGAGTTTGAGTCCCCACTCCTCCACGTGCAGCTGCTGGTGTGACCTTGGGTCAGTTACAAGTTGCTTCGGAGCTGTTCTCTGAGGAGCAGTTATCGAAAGAGCTCTCTCAGCCCCGCCTACCTCACAGGGTGTCTGTTCTGGGGAGGGAAAGGGAAAGGCGCTTGTAAGCTGCTCTGAGACTCCTTCGGGGAGTAAAGGGCAGGGTATAAATCCAATCTCTTCTTCTTCTCTTCTTCTAAATAACCCACCAGTTGCTTCGCTTGAGGTCCTTTAAATTTAATTACGCAAGCAAAAGATTTGGCCACAGCCAATGTAACTCCTGAAGCCAGGCCTTAACCTTATCTGATTTCAACAATCCCTCATTACCACAGAGAAAAGGAGAGAACCACCAGTTCCCAGTGCTGCAAAAGATACCACATTCCCACAAGCAATGCTCTGGAGTTTCTGTCTGTCCTGAAGCACATAGAGGTTTCGTTACTGTAAATCCTGGGAGAGTTTACTGGCTTGAATTTGAATGTTAAATACACAGCAGCGAAAGCTGCAAAGTTGTGAATTCGTTCACCTGAGATTTTCTTACCATAAGACAAGGGAGCTAATGGTGTGGGATTCTCCCTTTTGGTTGTAGGATCACGGGGACTGTGTGGTGCTTGTGTTTTGGAAGGGGAATCATGGGCTTATTTGGACAGCTGCAGTCAGCTTTCCAGGAACAGACAGAAGCTCTGGTGGGCATAAGCGTCACTCTGAGGCCAGGAGTTTGAAGAAGGGGTTTGCTTTCAAAGAATAAATCTTGTCGCACCGTAGAGAAATGACCTCTGTCCCTTGACCCAGCTATTTTTGTAGCCGACAGTGCTGCTGGTAGTTCAGGACCCACAGCCAAACAACGGGAGCACACTCTTCCAAGAAAGGTTTTGCTTTATTGTCAGTACTATGGTTGCAGTAACATGGTCACTGTTAGGATTGACGAGCCAGGAACAAGCATACAATAATATAGCAGATTCAAAAGCCCCCCCCCCGGCGTGCCAATTGCCCCTGTTCCCACCAGCAGGAAAGAGTAACCAACCCTCAGCTGAGAAATGAAACTAGTCTCACGGTCAATTACAGTGGAGACACTACATAGGCAGGAGTACAAGGTCAGCGATAACTAAGAGGAAAGGGGAATGTGGCAACCAACTCGTACACAGGTCAGGCAGGCGAACCCTAGGCCTGTAAACCATATGGCAGCTTAGCTGACAGCAGTGCCTGATCGGGGTCCCTTAAGCTGTTCTAGAACTAGGCTCATTCAGTCTCTAGAAAAAGAAAAGTCTTTTCAAGCCTTTTTGCGTTGTGGGATCTTGCAGGGCCCGCTGCTACGTGACCAACAATAAACGGAGCAAAGAGTGAACCTAGAAAGGTTAGAAAGACTGAGGCAGGAGGGAAAAGGGCTAATGACAGTCTGTGGCTCAGCAGAAGAGCCTCAGGTCCCGAGTTCCCTCTAAGCTGAGTTAGTGTGAGCCAGCTCACAGTTTTTTAGCCTCCGGCTCACAGATTTTTCTCTTCGCTCAGGAAGGATGGGGCTCCAGAGCAAACTAATTTCTGCAGTAGCCGAATTGCTTGCTCACAACTTTAATGCCAGTAGTTCACAAAGTAGAATATTTGCCTACGAAAAGGGGGGGGGGAGTAAGAAGAAAAGGATATATATTGGAGTTGATATAAGGTGAACGTGTATTATCCTAATAAAAGTTGTTTAAAAAAAAACCCAAAGCAGAATATTTGCTCAAAAGACTCCATAGCTTAGAGGGAACATTGGGTCCTGAGTTCAGTCCACGACGTCTCCCGTTAAAAAGATCAGTCAGTAGGTGATGCGAAAAGACCTCTGCGCCTGAGACCCTGGAGAGCTACTGCCCGTCTGAGAAGACAGTACCTACCTTAAAAGGCCGACGGTCTGATTCAGTAGAAGGCAGCTTCGTGCGTGTTTCATGTTGAATGGAGAACTGAACATTCAGAGAGGGTCAGTGATGAATTCCCAAGGGGTCCACGCCACCTGCAGTTATGGGTCTGACTAAAGGGCAAAAAGTAATCTTTGTCCGCAAATGGGCATTATCTCTGTGCCAGAGTATGACTGTCCCTGGCCTGGCACAGTTGTAATGTCGTCTGATTTCCTGCTCATGGTTGGGCAATGGGGACTAAGGCTTAGTGGTAGAACATCTGCTTGGGCAAGCAGAAGGTCCCAGGTTCAATCCCCGGCATTTCTGGTTCATAAAGGACCAGGCAGGAGATGATGTGAAAGACCTCGTCCCGAGGCCCTGAAGAACCACTACCTGTTGGAGTAGACAGTACTGACTTTGATGGACCAACGGTCTGATTCCGTATAAGGCAGCTTCATCTGCTCATGACCTGCTATGTTTACTGTTCCTTCTGCACCAGCAAGCGTCACCATACTCGAAGAAGGTCCCAGGCTCAACCCCCGGGGTTTCCAGTTAGGTGATGTGAAAGACCTCTACCTGAGACCTTGGAGAGCCACTGCCAGTCTGAGCAGACATAAGAACATAAGAGACGCCAATGTTGGATCAGGCCAATGGCCCATCCAGTCCAACACTCTGTCACACAGTGGCCAAAAGTACCAGGTGCCATCAGGAGGTCCACCAGTGGGGCCAGGACACTAGAAGCCCTCCTACTGTTGAACCCCCCCCCCCAAGCACCAAGAATACGGACCTTGATGGACACTTGACCCACTGTAAGGCAAGTGTAAGGCCTCAGTGTAAGTGTAAGGTACTTTTCGCCCTTTCTCACAATACAAGAACTCCTTGTGGGCACTCCATGAAATTGCTGAGCGGTCGGGTTAGAACGGATAAAAGGGAGTACTTCTTCACCCAAAGAGCGATTAACACTTGGAATTCACTGCCACAGGAAGTGGTGGCAGCTACAAGCATGGACGGCTTCAAAAGGGAATTAGATAAGCATATGGAGCAGAGGTCCATCAGTGGCTCTTAGCCACAAGGTATAGATAGGGGCTCTGGGGCAAGGGATGCTCTGTCTTCTTGGTGCTTGGGAGGGGGGTCAACAGTGGGAGGGCTTCTAATGTCCTGGCCCCACTGCTGGACCTTCTGAAGGCCCCCGGTTTTTCTGGCCACTGTGTGATACAGAGTGTTGGACTGGATGGGCCTTTGGCTTGATCCAACATTGGCGTCTCTTATGTTCTTACGTTCTTAAGGCAGTTTCATGTGTTCATGTGTACTTGGTACTGAACCACCATCGGCAACCTGGGTCATGACCATGGTCGTAAACAGCGGTTTGGTGGCAAGTAGTGTGGAATCGTTGATTTTAACGGCACGATAATGGTCATTACTTCTGAAACAGAAAGGGAGAAGGGGGGGGTGAGTCCCAAGCCCACTGGGTGTTCCTGTGACCCGATGGAGGGTTAGGAGATTGCACAGTGTTGTGCCTACCCCAGACCCCTGCAGGCAAAGGAAGTGGATTTGAGGCCCTCCTCTGATATTTCCTCGATGCCGAGGCCATTTCTGGTTCTTGAGTGTTGCTTGAACCTCCTTGACTTTTTGCTGAAGAATATGCTATCCTGCTACAGATATCTCTGAGCGGCTTTCTTCCGTTGCCGTCCCGGAATGCTGCATATCTGGATTCCCCTACCAAGGCGATCTAGTCCGTTTTGGATACTTTTGATAGTCTGTGGGTTCTTTTTGTGCCTTATAATGAAAGCACCTCATACCTTGACCTGTCTGCAACCATTGTTCTTGTTTTTTCCATGCCAGTTTGGCTTGGAGATCCTGGAGGGGTTTTTTTCTGTCATCTTCTGGGCGTGGAACGGCAGTCCCTGCAGGTGTGGAGGGGGAGGTAATTGTGAATCCCCTGCCTTGTGCAGGGGGCTGGACACGAGATCCCTTCCAACTCTATGGTTCGTCTGACTCTCTGTCTTTTATTTGACTGCCTGCAATTAGATAAACAGCAATTAGATAAACAGACATGGGGAGACAATAGATGGATGTGACCAATGCTCCCTCTAAGCTGTGGAGTCTTGTGAGCAAAGATTCTACTTTGTGAGCTGCTGGCATTAAAGCTGTGAGCGAGCGATTTGGCTACCGCATTCATTTGTTTGCCTTGGAGCCCTCCTTCCTGAGCGGAGACCAAAATGTGTGAGCTGAAGGCTAAAAGACTGTGAGCGAGCTCACACTAACTCAGCTTAGAGGGAACACTGGCACGACCATGGGAAGGAGAAGAAAGTGCAGGAAGTCTTCCTCCCTCTCTGAAACTGGGGCCATCCAACTACCTTTTGTTCCACGGTCCCTTACTGCTCAGGGGCACTAAAAAGAAACAGAGCTCGAATACTGGAGCTGGAATTCATTATACTTGTGGAGCGAAACACGCACACT